TTACGTGCCACGATCAGCCCGCGAGCCACACTCGGGATTCCTGTCCGATACACCGTTGGTGTCTACCAACTCGGACATTCCAATGTCCAGCATGTTGACCGTCTCAGTCCAGTGCTCTCACCAATAGTGCTTTTGTCTCCTAGCAGAGGTGAGTTCACGACTCGCCAAAGCTACACCGGGAGACGTGCGCGTAGCGCCCAAGGTCTTTGACCTCCAAACAATCCATGACTCATGGTATTCCAACCATGCCATGTCTAGGATGAGGCCATACCTTGCATCCAAGTCTAAGACCAGACAGCGTTCCACTCTACCAGAGTCAAGGAACTTGACTCCGAGGTCCACAGGGACCTTCGGGAACGTGACACGTGACCCCGTCGCTAGGCGAACAGTGACGATGTCACCCAAGTCGCTTTCAGCGCCTCAGCATACAGCTGACATCCTTCTATTATAAAGCGTCGAGCATAATTGCCCGACGCCCCAGAATCGATGAGGATCTTCCATAGCTTCTCGAAGCCCTTTACGGTCGCTCTACGTCCAGCAAGCCCGGCTTGCATACACATTCCGAGTTCAGGAGCACGGGACTCTTCGGCTGGGCCCTGTTGACCTATGCCTCCCTGTGGCTCAACTGAACTCAGTTCTTCCCCAGTGGGTCGCCCCGCCTACTGAGTGGTGTCGTTTCCCCGCAACAAACCAGACTGGTGGAAATGGAGCGATGGATTGAAGAACCTTGACGCGCCTTGCGCGGGGGGCGAAGATGACGGGTGTCTCCACAGGCAAAACACCGTCGTTTGTTTTGTGCTGCCCCGGCAACTCGGAGCTCTGCTCCCTTGTCCTCAGCATAGCTGAAATCCATGGCCGCAGGCCCGCTCGATGAGCAGTTGGAGTGTGCATTTTAAACAAGTCGTGCCGACATAAAATTGAATATGGCATATAATGCCACATTTACCGCCTCTTCAAACGAAGACGGATGCACAAGGAAGACTTCCATTCTGGCCACGCCAGTGCGGACGCCTTCCAAAACACGGTCTCTGTGGCCGCCTCCAGATAGGATCTGCTGCCATCCCGGCAATGAAAGTTCGCAACTCCTCGTCAAAGTCCACCAATTCCTTGTTGCCCTGTCGGGAGGCAAGGAAGCACGATCGTACGCGATATGTCTGATTAGGCGGCGAGAACACATGAGAGAGCTGCAATTTCAGCTCCGCTCAGGAAGGAAACGCAGCTCCGACCGAAGTGCCGCACGTCAGTGCCCATTCTCGCGCTCGACCAC